TAGAAATTTTTTTTAATGAAAATACTATTGTGTATTTTTTAAAAATTAATTTTTAACATTTTTTATTTTTTAAAACATAAAATGTATATTAAAAAAAAAAAAAAAAAAAAAAAAATACATATTTATAAAATAAAATTAAATAAATCCAGTTTTTATAGCAACACCAATTATTCTTTAATTTTTTTTTTCTATATCTTCAATTTTATACTTCCACACTTGATCATTGAAATCATCATTATATTCAAGATACCTGTAGCACTATATATATATATATATAAATAAAAAAAAATTTAATAAATAAATTATATTTTTTATAGTTTTTAAATATATACTTTATTATATTACCTTTATTACTTCATTATAGCATTTGTTATATGAATATAGTTGAGATAAAAAAAGCAAAACAAATTTTGATTTTGTTTGTAAATTTGTTAATTCATTTTTAATACGTTGGATAATATTTATATCAAAAATGTCGTTTGTATTTTGTTTTTCTTCTTTTTTATATAATTCTATATATTTAAATACTATATTAATAAAATAGTTAAAAAGAGACTCATTATCATAAAATTGTTTAGAATAAGTTAAGCATAAAACAATTTCTTTTTCCAATTTAATTATATTGTTCATATAATTTAATTTATTAAATATAAAATACCTATATACCCATACAGAATTATTATATATATCGTTTTTTAAAAAATAGTTAATAAAATTAATTTCGTGTAGCAATATTTGATATTTTTCACAAAGATATTTATTTTTAAAAATAGAAAATTTTTCAACTAACCAAGTTTTATGAGCCCAAGAATTATAATTTTTTGCATCTATAAATATATCACAATTATTATAAAGTATTTCTTCACGTAAAAACTCATTTATATTAATTATTTCATTTGGTTTTAATGCATTTTTAAAAAAATTACAATTGTCTATTATATTTTGTAAATCATCATATAAATTAATATTATCCTTCTTTATTTTAAAATCTTTTTCATCACAATTACTAATGAATCCTTCATTGAAATCATTATCATATTCATCCTCTTCCAAACTATTACTTTCATTATCACTAATAAAATTATAATCGTCATCAAAAAAATCATAATTAATGTGTATCTTGGAATTTGATTCATCTTTATAATTATTTTTTCTTTTTTCTTTTCTTTTTTCATTTTTTTTTTTATCTTTTTCATTGAGTTTATATATATATTCTACTAGCCATCTTCTATGAAACCAACTCTGAAAACTTTTAATATTATCGTTAATTATAAATTTTGTAAATTTTAACTCATTTAAAAGGTTTATATTAAGTTTTTTTAAACATTTTCTTCTGTAAATCCATGCACTATAATAAGAAGAATTTAATTTTATTACAAAGGATGAAACTATATATCCTTCAAATGAATATATCTTATTTTCTATTAATGATGCTAATAGAGAATATAATAGACGTTCATTTTCACTATAATATGTGTTTAATATATTTATTTTATCTTTATCTTTTATATTTTCTTCTTCTTCAAGCATATATTTTTTTTTTTCTTTTTCTAAATCACATATATCAATAAGGAAATTTTTTTTTTTCATTAAATTAAATAATGGATTATTTAAAATGCGAAAATTTAATTCATCAAATGTCTCTGGATAATCTAAATTAAACTTTTTAGCATAAACATATAGATTTCTCTTCTCCATTTTTTCATTCATTAGTTATTTTAAAAAACACAATAATGAAATCATTCTTACAAAACTTTTTTTTTTTTTTTTTCTCTTAGCTTCTCAACTACTTGTATATATATAAAAAATTAACATACAGAAAATATTAAATCTTTATACATTTTATAATATAGCAATAATTGCTTTTATTTTTAACTACCTTTTTTTTTTAATTAAAAAATGTTTAATGTTTAAATTAATATAAGTAATAGGAAAAAAAAAAAAAAAAAAAAAAAAAAAAAAAAAAAAAAAAAAA